AGACCGGTTCTCAACTAGAAGTAAACTTTGCCCTCTCCCTCAAGCCTTTTTGTCAGAACATTGGGGCATGAAAGGGGCCTGAAAGAACCCTAGTGTTCTGCTTGGTGTCCTTCCCAAGGACTAAGAATCATCTAGTCCAAAATATCAGTTCTGAAAAGGTTGAACTGCCCTGTCTAAGCATAAATAATGTGGTAAACTTCACACACTTGACATGTATCAGGGTCAGCCTAGGGCCCAAGTAATATCCTAAGAAGTCCTCTGCCCCCTTCCTGATCTGTAGATCTGCACAGTGCAGTTTAATTTTGGCAGTAGTTTAGGATTTTGGAATTATACTGATACTGTTTTAATTGAAACTATCTTTTTATGAATTTTATTTAAATTAGAAACAATCTAATTTTACATATCAATCCCAGTCCCCTCTCCCTCCCATCATCCCATGCCCCACACCAACCTCCCTATTCCATCCCCCACCCGCTCCCCAGAGAGGGTGAGGCTTTCCATGAGGGATCATCAAAATCTGTGAAGTCGTTTGGGGCAGGGGCCAGGCCCTCCCCTATGTATCTAGGCTAAGAGAGTATCTCTCCATGGGAAATGGGCTCCTGAAGTCCATTCATGCACTAGGGATACATCTTGTGGTTCCACTGCCAGAGGCCCCATAGACTTCCCAGTGTTCCTAGCTGACACCCAGGTTCAGAGGGCCTGGTTTGTTCCTATGTTGGTTGCCCAGCTGTCATATTGGAGTCCTTGAGTTCTCAGGTCAACTGTTTCTGTGGGTTTTCCCAATGTGGTCGTGACCCCTTTGTTCATCTGAAACTGGATTCCAGGAGTTTGTCTCAGTGCTTAGTGGATCTCTGCTTCTGCTTCCATCAGCTACTGGATGAGGGCTCTAGGATGGCATTTAAGGATGACTACTCTTTATGCCATCCTAGTGCCCTCATCCAGTGGCTGATGGAAGCAGAGACAGACATCCACAGATATACACTGAGCTGTAATCTGGAATTTAGTTGCCGAGAGGGAGGAATGAAGAGTCTGTACCAAGTTGGAGAAACCCACAGAAACAGTTGGCCTGAACAAGGGAGAGCACATCGACCCAGATGCTGTCTGGGAGGCCAGTACAAGACTGACCCAGATCCCTGAACATGGATGCAATAAGGAGGCCTCTGCACTCCAGGAAGCCTCTGGTAGTGGATTAGTATTTTTCCCTGGTGTAAGAAGGGACTTTGAGAGCCCATCCCACGTGAAGGGTTACACTCTGGCCCTGGACACATGGGGAAGGGCCCAGGACCAGCACAGGAAGATTTGGCGGTCTTTGCAGAGCCCCTGTAGAGGACCCTACTCTGCCTGGGGATTGGTGAGTGGATGGAGTAGGGGGTAGGTTGGGGGTGGGGGAGGGAGGATAGGGGTGAGGGGAGGAAGAGGGAGAAGGGACTTACATTTGAAACAAGCTTGTTCCCTAAGTTGAACTAATAAAAAAAAGTGGGGTACAGAACTAAATAGAGAATCCTCAATAAAGGAACCTAAAATGGCTGAAAGACATTTAAGAAATTGTTTAACATCCTTAGCCATCAAGGAAATGCAAATCAGAACAACTCTGAGATACCATCTTACTCCTGTCAGACTGGCTAAAATCAAAAACATCAATGACAGTTTATGCTGGAGAGGATGTGGAGAAAGAGAACCGCTTCTCCGTTCCTGGTGGGAGTGCCAACTTGTACAGCCACTGTGGAAATCAGTATGGCAGTTTCTCCGGAAAATGGGCACCAGTCTACCTCAAGATCCAGAAACAATCTATTAATAGACCTTTGTGCATTGAAAGTATCCCTCTGAGTGTTTACTATGACCCAGGCTCATCTACCTCATGCTAGATGAATTCACATCCACAATATGAATGCCACCCTGTTTACTGAGTTATTGTATGCCGACATTTCTCAATTTCCAGCAAATTGTCTCATAAATAGGAATATGATTAAGTCCTTACAAGCTATTTTTGTTATTATTGAGGTAATTAAGATGTGATCGCCATTCTGCTTTTGTCAGTGCATTTGCTCTCCAGTAAATAAGGAATCAAATACCGTTTGGTGAGGAACCGTGCATGCCTCGGAGTGAATTAGCAGAAGGGCTCCTGTCTGCATTTTTGGGTTTTCATCCAAGGCTTGGATTTAGCTGAAGCAAGCATGCGTTTTAAAACTGTAGCTTTGAGGAATTTTATCCCAGGAAGTAGTATCTATGTATAAAACTAATAGGAACTTCATCATTCTTTACTACATTTTTTTGTACATAGTAATGGTCTTTTATTCTGACGTTTACGCACATGTACATTGCCCTATTACTCTCCCCTCCTTTCCTACTCGAGCTAATGCGTCTCCTCTCCCAAAATACCCCCTCTTTCTACCTTTATGTCTTGTGTATATGGCTCAATGAGTTTCATTAAGGTTGTTTGCAGGAATATGAGTAATGGCTTATTTAAAGGAGCATGGGTAGGTACCTTATTAGTGTCGGGACCACTAAAGAAAACATTCTTCTATGACACTTTAACCATTTACTAAGTACAGATCCACAGGGAAAGGGGGGGCTCCTCTTCCATGGCAGGTATTGACAGGGCTCTACTTTTTATAGAGCTTGTGTAGATATGTTACCTGACTATAGCTTGATCTTCTATTGAAGCTTCAGCTTTGTTGGTTTTGGCTCCTACATCTTTCTTTGCCTGGGTGATTTAGAAACAGAAGTCTCCAATGAGCAGCTCCTTTTCTCTTTGTGTTGCAAATAGGTCCTGTGCCTAGTGTTCAGGATGCTTCCTCTAGTCTGATTCTCAAGCTCATTAAGACCACAACCATTGCTGAGGGCAAGTTTTGGTTACACTGAAAACTTTGCTTTAATTGAGTCTCCATAGGTTTTGTGAGTTGCAAGTTGTAAAACATACAAGTACCAAGGCAGATCTTTCAGCCCAGCTGCCAGGAGCTACTACCATGAAAAGAGCCATGGCTCCAACAGGGGAATCTATCTGCTTTTTAGCCTCCATAGGGGTCTGTCTTAGCCCAGAAGCCATTGTCCCTGACTCCAGGCTTCCAACAGAAAACAACTCAGCCACAGACACCATCCACTGGTACAGACCTTCTAGGTACAACTCTCTAGCTGCCTCACTGTGCCATCTCCATTGATTTGAAATGACTCAATTTATAGGCTGGCTTAACTCCAATAGAAAATGAAAGTACTGAGGAGGGTTTGGTCTGTCCCAACCTGCCATGTGTAGAAGGGACTAAATAATAGTTCATGTTTCAAGATGAAAGATAGAGGCCAAGTATTTATACTCATGTAATCCCAGCACTGGGCTCAGAAATATAAGGCCAGCCTGGGCTACACACTGAGACACTCTCTAAAACAAAACAAGACAAAACAAAATAAATCAATTGATTAATAATCAACACAAAAAGATGAAAGACACACGGCTAGCTGATAAATACCAGGGAAGATGTTAGAAATAGAACCTATCCTTTCCAAGAGCCAATCAGGTTTGTTTAATAAGTTCCATTTCATAGACAAGGAGACCAGAGATTACAAAGCTGAGCAAGCAGAACTGACATGTGTGAAACATAAGCACTCATCTTTGTGATCCCATCATCCTTGGTTAAGTTTTCCACATTTGAGCTAACTTGCTCATAGAATCTGAAACAGGTCCTGAGAAGAAAGCTTTGGCACCCCCAAAATAGTAAACACCGTGTCTTCAACCCAGTAAGTTTAAATCTTCAGTTGTTTATTAAAAATAAAAAAGCCCAATTAAAGGGTCAGTTAAGTGAAATTCTGCCCATTCTAGATTGTCGGCTGAAATATTTACTAGCAGTGGCTTAGAGACTTGAAACTCCTCTAACATATGTTGATCCTTAGAATATAATTTACTATATACCCATTCATTCTACCAATTAATGACAATTTATAGAGCAATTAGTCCACTTTATCCAGTATACCGGACACAAGTTAAACCATAAGATGAACACTCTCAGAAGATACAGGGCAAGGAACAAGTAACCAACAAAGGAAGATAAGGACTAAGACTGGCAGAATAGCAAGTTCAGAGGTCCTGAGGCAGGAACAGATCTGAAATACTCTAGGAACTTATAAGGACCAGTGTGACTAAAGGTCATTAGAAGCAAAATACAAAGCAGAGAACTCTCTCTCTCTCTCTCTCTCTCTCTCTCTCTCTCTCTCTGTGTGTGTGTGTGTGTGTGTGTGTGTGTGTGTGTGTGTGTGTGTGTGTGTGTGTGT